CTCAAATCAGACTCAGATCTCTTCAAAGTCAGATCAGCCTCAAATCAGACTCAAATCTCTTCAAAGTCAGATCAGCCTCAAATCTGACTCCGATCTCTTCAAAGTCAGATCAGACTCAAATCAGACTCAATGTTGGGCCAGTTGCAGATCAGACTCCAGTTAATCTAAAACACTCAGATCAGTTTCAGACCAGACTCCGATCCAGACTGGTTTCAGATGAGTCTTGAATCAGACTCCGATGGAGGTCAGACTCCGGTCAGATCAGACTCTCACAGCATGTTTTTCTGCATGATTCTCTCTTGCGGTTTAAAGCGTGTCACTGTGTTTGTTCGCTGATGTTTGCCGTCGCACACATCTGCTAGAATCGCGTCTGCTCTCAAATGAACTCCGGCTGTTTTCGGTCCGCGCACACTCACGTTAGCGCAGAGACGTTAATTAGCGCTGGCGGCGGGCAGTGAGATTCCTGCTAGAGCACACACACATTAGCATGTTTGATGTGTTTGAATCAGATGTTTGTTGGGCTCCGCCGGCCGTGTTTGTTCCAGAGAGACTCGAGCGCTCTATGGCTCTTGTGTCAGAGACGGCGCTGACTGACTCTATTGTGCTCGTGTGCTAGCGCTCTTTATTCTTGCTCTGACGTGCCCGCTGCGGATTAATCAGTTGAACTTTGACCCGCCGTGTCTAATATTTCTTGAACGGATTCCCAGAGGAACACACTGCTTAATCAGGAGAAACGCCTCGCACCTACACAAGCCTGATTTCACACCGCGTTCCACGCTCCAGGCCAAGCCAAAATAAATCAGACATGTCTGTAATTAATATATTGTTTTTCTAATATGCAACAGCATATTGATAAATCTCTAACCTTTTATCCAGTAACCAAAAGTGTCTGGAAATATTGTGGATATTAACAGGTTTAAAAACTAATTAAAAACACATACTTTTTTGCAGTTTTAATGCAAATTGTTTGCACTGTTGTCATTTATTTTGTCATAATTGAAAGGATATTTTCTTCATTCGTCAATATTTTGTCATGCCATTCATCGACATACAGTACATTGTTTTAATTGTAGAGAATACTGAGCAGTTAAATAACCAAACATTCAAGCATATTTTAATATATATATTTTTGTATTTTTTAATATGCATGTTAATATATTTTTATATAGTTTTTAAAACGTATCAAAACAAAAACAACGTGAAAATATCATATTCATTAAGTTTAGGCAGTTTTATGCTAATTTTAGTTGACAAATTATGTCCTAATTTACAAAAATGTTCACCGAGTGTAATTGATCTAGTACTAAAATGACCAAATTTAATTGACCAGGTATTAAAATGTAATTTTAATCAGGAGGTGAAGATCATGGTGCTCCCGTGCCGCGGCGTGCAGCCGGTGGAGGAGGCTCTGGAGGACTGCAAGCGCGGCATCCTTCCCATCATCCTCTACGCCATCAGTAAAGACGCGCTGAGCGCCGAGCAGGTGAGCGACCTGCAGAAGGTGCGCGAGATGCTGCCGTTCCCCGTCTGCTTCGTCCGGGCCGTACTAAAATTACCAAATTTAATTGACCAGGTATTAAAATGTAATTTTAATCAGGAGGTGAAGATCATGGTGCTCCCGTGCAGCGGCGTGCAGCCGGTGGAGGAGGCTCTGGAGGACTGCAAGCGCGGCATCCTTCCCATCATCCTCTACGCCATCAGTAAAGACGCGCTGAGTGCCGAGCAGGTGAGCGACCTGCAGAAGGTGCGTGAGATGCTGCCGTTCCCCGTCTGCTTCGTCCGGGCCCCCAGCGGCCCCTCGGACCCCGGGGCCCTCCACAGGCAGCTGCTGTCCCTGGAGCTCGTGGGCGCAGCGGCGGGAAACTGCGCCTGCGGGGCTCCTGCGCAGACGCAGAGCATTCTGGGAGAGAGTCTGGAGCGTCTGCAGCGTGTGCTGGGGCCCTTCACTCGACAGCTGCTGCAGAACCAACAGGTGGAGGCCGCGACGCTGCTGAACGCCGTCCAATGCCGCTGCCTCGACCTATTCATCAACCAGGTGACCACAGAATCCTCTGCCCGGCTGCATAATGCACCTTACGTATGAGACTTAAAGGGATAGTTACTAGGGCTGGGACAATACATCGATGCATCGCGAATCGAGAAACGATTCTGCGTCGATTCTGAGATTGCGCTGCAGATGGCGCTGCATGCTTTACTAACAGCTGTATTCTGCTTGCTCCCAGTTCCCGACACACGCACCACTTGAACATAAAATAATCATTCACACAGTTTGAAAAAGTTGTAGGGAGTTACAAGGTGGGCTGTGTTTACATTAATCTCATAATAGCATAAAAGCCAAGTAGATTTAACCACTTACATGACTCACAAGGGCTCTTCATCGTGAGCATTTGAGCGTGCGGTTAAAAACTAGCTTAGAGCGCCATCTACTGTTAAAAACTAAGCTCAGAATCGATTCCAGAGAGAATCGCGATGCATTCCGAAAATCTCAGAATTGATGCACGTATCGCAATACATCGATTTATCATCCCAGCCCTAATAGTTCACCCAAGAATGAAAACTCACCGTCGTGTCGTTCCAAACCCGTAAGACCTCCGTTCATCTCCAGAACACAAATTAAGATATTTTTGATGTATACAGCTCTCATAGACAGCAAGGATCCTAACACGATCAAAGCTCGGAAACGTAGCAAGGAGATCGTTAAAATAGTCTATGTGACATCAGTGGTTCAACCGTAAGTTTACTACTAAAGCTACGAGAATACTTTTTGTGCGCAAAAGAAAAAAAAATAACGACTTTATTCAACAATTCGTCTCGAATTGGAGAGTATCCGCTGGACGTAAATGGCGTATGCTGTTCTGTGTCAGCCGCGCCACGCGGATGCGTTGTTTATGTTCGGATCAAAGCGCAAACAACGTAGAAAACGTATCCGCGTTCAGTGGATACTCTCCAAAACGGCGCTCTAGGGTGACGCGGAGGAGACGAATTGTTGATTAAAGTCGTTATTTTTGTTTTCTTTTGCGCACAAAAAGTACACTTGTAGCTTCGTAAAATTAAGGTTGAACCACTGATGTCACATGGATTATTTTAACGATGTCCGTACTGCGTTTCTGTGCCTTGAACCTGGTAGTTACCTTGCTGTCTGTGGGTAACTACATGATGGTTGAAATCACGCAAATGGCCGTAAGATATTATCTAATAGAGAATTTGAGATTGCTAATGCTGTCATAAAGAAACATTTCTGATTATTATCAATGTTGAAAACAGTTGTGCTGCACAATATTTCTGTGGAAACTGTGATACCACTCAAACATTTGTATGAGATTTAAAAGAGAGAGAGAAATTAATATCTTTATTAATCATGCATGAAAGTGATAAAAAGTGAGTGGAGACATTTCAAATGATTTCTGTTTAATAAATGCTTTAACAAATTGAATTAATATATTTGATAAATGCAAATAAATGCTGTTCGTTAAACTTTATATTTATCAAAAAATCCTGAAAAATAAAGTGCATCACCATTTCCACACAAAATATGAAGCAGCAAGATCGTTTTCAACATTGATAATAATCAGAAATGTTTCTTGAGCAGCAAATACATTGTAATGATTTCTAAAAGATCGTTATGATGCAGAAAATTCTGCTTTGCGTCACAGGAATAACATTGCATTTGATAATATATTAAAATTGAAAACGTTTTTTTTTATTTGTAATAATATTTCACAATATTGCCGTTTTATTTACTTTACACTTTTACTTTAATCACATAAATTCAGCCTTGATGAGCAGAAGATATTTATTTCAAAATCATTAATAATTGTAATGTTTCCAAACTTTTGGCAGGTGCTTGCTGTGGAACCAAATAAATGAGAAACAAATGCTTAAAAAAAACGTTCAAAGTTTCAAACTTCTCAATTTTTACTGTATTTTTGATCACATAAATGCAGTATTAATGAGCAGAAGAGACTTCTTTCAAAAACATCTGAATTATTCCAAACTTTTGACCACTAATGTAGCTGTTGCTGGATTTTAAAACGCATAAATTACACACATTTAGTTATGGTTGTACTAGTAACTACAAGTTATCTTCATCATTCTGGTGATATTTTACAATGAGGTTTCATTGGTTACCATTAGTTAACTACATTAGTTAACATGAACTAATAATGAGCAATATTTCACAGCATTTAATCATTTTACGTTTTTATTCAAAAAAGGTGTAAATCATTAGTAATTTATTTTCATGGTCTCTTCTAATACATATTTAAAATCAAAATCTGAATCTGTTTACATTAATTAATGCAACTAACATAAATTGTATTTTTACTAGTGCTGTCAAACGATTAATCGCGATTAATCGCATCCAAAATAAAAGTTTGTTTACATAATATATGTGTGTGTGTACTGTGCACATTTATTATGTATATATAAATACACACAGATACGGCATATATTTTGAAAATATTTACATGTACATATAAATTATATCATATATAAATATATTTAATATATAAACGTAACATTTTTCTTAAATATATACGTGCTTGTGTGTGTATTTATATATACATAATAAATATACATAGTACACACACATATATTATGTAAACAAAAACTTTTATTTTGGATGTGATTAATCATGATTAATCGTTTGACAGCACTAGTTTTTAATCAACTAAAATCTACAAATGTTGATTAATGCTATAAAACTATGTTATTCTTAGTTCATGTTCAATAATGCACTGACTACTGTTAACGAACGTTGTGTTTCTTGATAATACATTCGTTCGTGATTCTTTGGCACGCTTTGATGTTTTCAGTGTTTGCATGTGTGAATGTTTTCTCGTTCAGTCCTGTGTTGTCGAGACAGAGGTTCTCGTGAACGAAGCTGCGTTTTGTCGCGCAGGCGTTCGACATGCAGAGGGATCTTCAGATCACGCCGCGGCGGCTGGAGTACACTCGAGAGAAGGAGGGAGAGCTCTTCAGCTCTCTGATGGCCATCGCCAACCGCAAGCAAGAGGAGATGAAGGACATGATCGTGGAGACGCTGAGCGGCATGAAGGAGCAGCTGCTGGAGGACGCCGCCAACCTGCACTTCTCCGGTCAGAATACAGATTATAGTGATGATCACTAGGGCTGGGGAAAACATATAGAGTTTTACGGAACGATATCGATTCTTAAATCCCAAGAATCAATTAGTCTCGCCTGTTTTCAGTTAATGGACGGAACATTGAAGGGCACTTCCCATGCAATATATCACAGTAAGCATTGTGCTTTGGTACTTTTAATATGAAACACAGTCTCAGATTTCAAATTATGTTCATTGTATTGCAGTATTCAAACAATAAATGCCGTTTTGGCGCTGTTTAATGTGGAGTGATCGCTGTAGCGCCTCAGTGAACTGATCATCTCCTCCGCTTTATTACTAGTTATAGCACAAAATAAACATGACTAAACATCCGAAGGTAAGTTAAAAGAAAGAGTTCAACTAAACAATCCTTATCCTGTCTCGTGTAATCGCTCAATCAGTGTTTCAGCCGCGCAAAGACGGTCACGGCTTTGTAAACAATATGTCACGTAACGTCACAGAAACAAAAATATAACTCGTTAGTCAGCTGGAGAAATAAACTGTAGAGAGGGGCAATTATGCACCATATAATATATACATTATAACTTTTACTGTTCTTCAACGTTTAATTTATATTTATTATGACAGCCTCCATTTAAATGTTTATATTTAAATTAGAAATATTATATTATTATTATTATTATTATTATTATAGTAAAGTAGAAATATTATTATGTAATTGTAACTTTTATTCTAAAAACTTCATTAAGTGTAATTTAAGCAGTTGTATAGCCTAAAAACATCAGTCTGTTTTAACCTTCAGTATTATAGTAATGTAGTACCAACTGACTCTCGTGTATATCTGACAGCATTAGTTAAGATAATTTTTTTCCTTGAGAAAATTTGGCATGTGTGCTTGATATATATCCAAAATAATCAATATTGAATCAAATCGTGACATTTGTGTCAAAACCCAGCCCTAACGATCACGGTTTTCAGTATTATCACAGTATTGTTAAAATGTGCTGGAAATGTTCTAAAAGTACTGACACATAAATCACTTCACCACAATTTTATATTTAAAATCAACAAACAACAACTAAAATTACTTTTTGTTTGCATAATCACTAAAACAATAACATTACCAATGATGTCCGGATTTTAAATGACAACATGACTGACTACAGTTTATCTAATAGTAGGGATGGGCGATATGGGCTTAAAAATATATCACGATACTTTCTGGTATTTATTGCGATAACGATATCAATGACGGTAATTCAGGGAATCCTGCTTCTTTAGAGAAAAGTATTATCTTTCTTATTTTAACCCAAAATAGGGTGTTGTGAGCATTACTGAGTACACACGTAATGTAATGACTGTTTAATTCATACTGGAAGCCGGAGGGCGCCCTTGCGCAGAAACTCCACATATGCATA